CACTGCGGGCCAGAGGGGAAGCAGAAGACCCAGGACACAGTGTGCGCCCCCTGGAGGAAGCCACGTGCAACGACGGGCACGCCAAGCACCTGGCAGAGCGGGTCTGGGCGAACAGTTCTGGGTCTGAGAGAGGCTGGAGACTGTCCAGGCAGACACAACCTAGTGAGGCCCTAGGGGATGGGCTCTCGGGCGGTATGCACTGACAGGAGTCTCTGCTCTCTGTACCGGTAGGGGAATTAGCAGTTCAGTTACATGAATACATTCTATTCGAAGTGAGCAATGAAGGTTACCACCAATCGAGGCAATTAGTCACACGACATATTTTACACAGATGAATTTTCAATAGAAATTAGAAAGACAGCGAGCATTTAGATAGTCCAAATGTGGAGCTTATTTCCTTCAAATGAGCGCTGCCTCCACCTTCCCGAGTTTCTATGTGAATACCCTCGCTTCCTTAGCTACCGTTTTTCAGCATACAGAAGAGGAAGCTGAAAGCACGTCTGTGCGTGAAGGGAAGATAACCACTGGTGAAGAATAGATACCAACTAAAATAACAAATCAGTATCATTTTACGTCAGCAAAACTGACTTAATGCCAAATACTGGCAGGGCTGTGGCAACATAGGCACTCCTGGGTGCTGCTGGTTGAAAATGGCCCTGAAGAAGCCACTCTGGATGGCGCCAACACTCAGCTCTCCTCCAGGGTGGGGCCACACGGCCCAGGATGCCAAGGAGATGCCTGATGTGCCCTCTGCGGCAGCAGGAAGTGCCCAGGCCACAGGTGCACCTGACTCAGTGCAGAAGACAGCACCTGCGGTGGCTGCACACCAGATATTCTGAGTGGAGACACAAAGGTGAGCAACCTAAGGTAATAACCGAATGGGACAGAGCACCACACTGCTGTGGAAATGATGTGTGCACAGCACAGGATGTAAGTACAATACCCACAGCTGAAACACGCCTCAATCCCACCCTCACTGGGCCGTGGTACTCATCCGTAACGGAGGAAAGGGGCGGTGATCAGCAAGTTAAAAATGAAGGAAGGCCAACACCAGCAGAAAGGGTTACAGGTTAGTATTACAGTAGGAAGTCTATCGGTAGGCAAGAAAATATTACAAATGCAAAGAAACAAGGTTATAAAAATTTTGAGGGCACTAGGCTCCATTCTATTAAAATCACATAAAAACTATACAAGATTTCTGGGCATTATGACTATAAAATTTGACAATATGTGAGATATTAGATTTTTAAAATATAAATACTTAAGTACTACATATTAAAACACGTATTTAACATGTATATGTATACACAGAGTTCACCAGTAATACCAGTTACCTTTGGCCTCTACAAGTACAAGAGGTGCTCAAAGTGGTGGGCACAGCATCCATACATTTATCATCTTTCTTTTCCTGAAGTGTGTATATGGTTTTTTGGCAGAATATGATGTATGTGTGTGTATATATATGATTAAATCACCCAAACCTCTCATTTCCTAGAGACAACAGGATCAGAAGTTACTGATGATTCTTAAATGTCGGTGTTGCTAAAGAGTCCAGGCTGCACCCCAATGTCCTGGTCACTCACAATGTCCTGATCAGCTCACTTTGGGGATGATGCCACTGTCTTTTCACCACTTAGGAAGAACAGCCTGCCATAGGTACATCCATAACAGCTTTCAATCACGGAGTCGTTAACTGTTACCCTGCTTCTTTTAAACAGTTTACATGACATATGGCATAAAGCAGGCTGACAGCAAAATCTGAACTTTTCTTTTACAGGATACTTCTGTTAGAGGGTATGTTCAGACTTCTGGGAAGATGGTGGAGTGGTGAATAGCAAAGAAAAAGCCTCTCTGAGATTCAGCGTCCAGATGCTGGAATAGAGCAATGTGAGGAAGAGGAGGAGGGAAGTGGGCCTCCAGAACCCACCAAGGAGCTGAAGTAAGAACCGAAGCCCACAAGAGAGACACCTCAATGCCGAAGAAGGGGGCAAGTGGGAATTTCTCTTTGGGCTCTAATTCACTGTGTGAACCTATAGGCTCCCAGTGACCCCAGAGGCCTCCACAGACAAATTCACCAATGAAACTGAGCAGTGGATGCAGCAGACTGCAGGGACTGGTAAGTTACTCAATTTCAGGTGTCCACAAAGAGAGGGCAATTGGCAGGCAGCTATCTTGAAGAAAGGCCAGGTAAGTGTGGAACTCAGAACAGTTATAGGCTGCCTCCATCTAGCAGCTCAAAGTATCAAGGTGAGGTGGAACCACATTCAAATCAACAGGAGGTCAAGGAGTGGAGTTCAAGCTGGCAGGAGGCACATGGAATGTTGCAGGGTGAACAAATCAGGTTCCAGCCTCACAGCCAGCACCCGCCTAAACTTCAGTGGAACTCAAAGTGCAGGCTTGCTGAGATTATGCACCTACGGCTGGATTGCAGGAATTATTCAACAAAGATCTGGGCTCTGCCTGCCCACTCTACCAGTGACAGCAGAGACACCCCCTGAAGTGGAAATGTTTTTAATTGTTCTTGTTTTTATATGAGTGTAAATACTGTTTCTAGTTTTTCTTATTGTTCTGAACTGATCTTGTTTTTATTTCTTTTCTCTTTTCCTCCTGTCTTCTTTACCAGTTTCCCAGAGTTTGTGTAATCTTCCTTTGTCCTCTGGCCTTATCTCTTCCTCTTGTTCTATTTCTCTATTTTTTCTCCCTAACCCCTTTTAAATTTTCTCCACTGAGGGTAAAATTACCATATTAAAGGGATATTTGCTGTATACAACTTTCTGGTATGTTTTAGATTTCACTATATAACTATAAATCTAGCTCATAAGGTTAAAGGTGGCAAATATAGTTACCAAATTTTGTCAATTTCTAGGCTGTGTTTGAGGCTATTGTTACTAGTGATTGCACTTCTTCAGCCAAGGTGACATACTGGTTCTATTCAATTGTTCTTCCTGGTGTGCCAAGACTGAGATTGCCTGAGAGACAAACAATACTATAGGCCAGTGCCAAAGAATCAGGGGCTGGGTCAAATAGGCAGGAACTTCTCATTCCCAATAAAGTAAAGAAGTAGGATCTTTCAACAGACTGAAACCCTAAAGCCAGCTACACCTGGAAGACTTCTCTGAGAAGCAGTCATTTCCTAAGGGCTCTCAATACTAGCAATAAAGATACCTGCTATAGGCAATTGTAAGAATCAACCCAGAAATTAAACTAAAACAAACAAACGAAAGACAAACAAGAAACACCACCAGACTTTCAGCTCACCAAAGGCAAATGCAGGGGACAATGAGGTGGAACAATTCGAAAGCCACCCACCTAGACTCTCTGAAGTGGTAACACAGGAAGTAACAAAGCAGATGAATGAGACTCCAGTAAAAAAAAAAAAAAATCACATCAGAAATAATTTCTCAGATAACTACAGAGGGGTGACTATAATGAAGAACATGGTTACTGACTCTAGAGCAGATACACACACAAAAATAGAGGAGCTTAGGAAAATGATGGAAACCACAAATATCCAACACAGTAAAGAAATGGAATCCATGAAACAGATTCAAACAGATATCCAGGAGATTAAAAACTCCATTGAAAGTATAGGTAGAAGATTGAGCCAATGTTTGAGGACCGAATATCACACCAAGAAGACAGGTATGGGGTCAGCAATCATGAAAAGAAAGATTTCTTTAAAAGAGGAGAGGACCACAAAAAGTCCAATAGCTGCTAGATGATGCGAAGAAGAGTAAGACTGATCAGAGTCAATGAAAAAAGGAGATAGCACCAATGACATAAAAACCTGTCCACAGAATGGCAGAAAAATTCTCAAATTGGGAAAAAGAATTTGACATACAGATAAGTGAGAAATACAGAATTCCAATAAGCCATGATCAAAAAACAAACAAACAAACAAACCACACCAAGGCAGACAATAGTCAAGGTTCCAGAAATTCAACACAAGAACAAAGTATTAAAAGCTGTTAAGGAAACAAATCACATAAAAAGGAAAGCCCATCAGAATTACAGGAGACTTCTCAAAATAAACCCTCACTCAAGTCAAGGAAAGCTGGGAGTAAAGTATTTCAAGCTGTAAAAGAAAACGATCTGTAGTACAGAATGAGATACCCTGCAAAACTCTTTCAAACTTGATGGAGAAATAAGGTATTTTCATGAAAAAGAACACCTGAAGAAATACTTGACCACCAAACCAGAACTTCAAAATGTTCTGAAGAACAATCTAAAAAAAGAGATATGAAGACTTACAACCCCAACAGAATGAATCCACCAGGCAAGGCAATCAATTAAATAGGGGGGACCCCAAAAGGGAAATAACATGACAAACAAAAATCAATACATATTAGTTATAACCATCAATGTAAATGATCTCAGTCACCAATCCAAAGAAAGAGACTGGCAGAATGGATCAACAAGCAAGATCCAATAATATGCTGCATATAAGAAACATACTTAATTCACAAAGAAATTTACCAACAGAAAGTCAAAGGATGGAAAACAATACTCCCATGTGACAGGAACCCAGAAAAAAGTAGGGGTAGCTATTTTCTTTGCAGACAAAATGGAGTTCAAACCAAGACTGATTAAGAGAGACAAATAAGATCATTATGTCCTCATAAAGACAGTAATCCAAGAGGAAGAGATAACAATGAGTATATAAATATCAAATACCAAACAAATATTAATGAGTAGAATCATTATGTATATCCAAAATGCGCCAATAAAAAAATGGTATGTTCAATGAACTAGTTTGAATTTCTGATGTCACATAACAGCATAATTATGTTTCTGAAATAAAAGTACAGTGAATTCACATTTTACCAATTTTCAAAAGCACATGTTGTTTCCTATTTTACATCAGGATATAGCTTACAATTAGTATACCTAATACTTGCCATCAGTCATTTTATTTCAATATTTCTGAAATCTGGATGTATTTGTAAGTGATGAAGCCTCAGATTTGATGAAATCTGGTAAAAATTTTTGGATCACATTACCTAATTCATGTGGCAGCTCGTGACAGAAAACGGCTATGGAAGTGCTGATTCCTCCCGTCAGCCCAGCACTGAACGCCGCTCCTGAGGAGGGTTAAGGAGAGAAAAGGGGAAGGAGTGATGTTCAGTGAATCTCTATTTCCCATTTTACTCCATTCATTTCACACTGTGTATGTTTTTATCCTTCACTAGTAATACCTACTATAGCTGCAAATACGGTCTCAACTTCTGTGACAGAAAACAGAGCCTGCTTGTTCTGAGTTCACAGATTCTGGTTCTTAAAGAAAATCACGTACTGATCACTTGTAATGTTCTCCAAATTGGTAACGTGGGTTAATATTAGCAAGATTCTAATATTTGAATTTGTTACAATGTATTTTTAATGTTGTAAAATTTTTCTCCCTCTTCCCAAAGATGTGCAAAATGTATTAAACTCAAGACTGAAATTACACTGCTCTCTTTGAGGGATGTACAAATGTGTCTGAAAATGTAATGCTCAGGGAGCTTTTTCAGTAAGGTGACTGTGCTCTGAATTAGAAGTAAAACTTCTCAAACAATGTACTGTATGTAAACATGTCGAGTCTCCCCCCAGATCCCCAAACACTGCTGGGCGCGACCATACATGCATGTAATCCGAGCACTTGGGAGACTGAGGCAGGATCATTGCAAGTCTGAGGTACATGGGGAGGCCCTGACTCAAAAAAACAAAATAAACGTTTAAAAAACCTGAAATCCATTTTCACTTCCAAATATACCTATCAAACACAAAACCACACCCCCTGGAAAAACCAGAGGACAGGCACCACACAGCAGAACATGTGCTGAACTCTGGAGAGCCACAACTGTGGAATTAACACAGCCACGCACCAATGGCGAGCCCATCGCTGAAGTTGTGGATGCCGTCCCCCATGATGACCATCCAGGCGATGTTGGCGATCCCGGTGTCCTTGAGGTCTGAGCCGGAGTGGCAGGGTCCATGTGAGTGATGGGAGTGCTTGTGGTGCCACTGGTGCCCATGCTTCCGTGGTGCGGCCTTGCTCCCGCCCTGATGGTTGTGCAGCCCATCACTGTGGGTGTGGTCTGCACTCTTCTCTTCCATGCACAGGTAAGTTTTAGGAGGGGACTCCTGCTGGCCTTCTAAATCTGTCAGTTCAGTTTCGTTGAGGCGATCTTCAGAAACAACAGAGTCATCGGTCCCTAGGAAACAGAAACGGACAGGCTCTGTCAGCAAGGAAATGTACACACATGCTGCTATTCAAACCTAGGCACACACCAGTGTAGGCAGACACTTCCTAGGTTAATGTCTTACAAAGGTCTTAAGACAAATGTATTCCCTAAAATCATCTGAAGCCAGTCCAAAGAACAAGATTTTCTGAAATCCAACTAAATACATAGATACAGAGATTTTTCAGAAAAAGGATTCCTAGTGTTAACCCACTCTAACCTTCTCTTATTTAAGAAAATGAAAACAAATACAATTTAAATAACTTGCTCAAGTCCTGCTGATAGCTGGTGGCCAAGTTCTCTAGTTTCCCTTCCCACCTACTTGACACTGTTACTTAAGAGGTCTCGAGAAAAAAAAAAAAAAAAGCTATGAGGCGGGGGTTTT